CTGACCTGCAGACCTGAGAGACCTTCAGCAAACAGATCTCTGATGTATTTTGGTTCTGGAGACTTTATAGATGATAAAGTTAATCCTGTATTTACCTGGAAGTCGGTGCAAGAATCAGAGTAAAATTAAACATCAATAGGACGAGGAAATCTGAGTCGGTTTCCTTCAAACTGACCGACAGAGTGACGCCTGAACTCAGGAAATAGTTCCATCTGTTAAAGCTGCTTCTGACTGACGATCCCAAGATTTTAATATTCTTTAAATAATAATTTAATTTCAATAATTTAAACAGAAAGCAAATATATGAAGTCACCAGGAACTAAATAATGGAAAAATCAGGAAGATTTGGAATAAATAGACTAAAGGTCAGTGAGCATTTTCAAGTCATCACCTCTGAAACACCTGAAATGATAAAAAACACGACCGTCTTCTGACTAGGAGGTCATATAAAGGCTCTATTACACCTAAACAACATGATATATTTCAAAACTCCAGCAGCTGAATTAATCTTTAGTAAGAATTCGATCACAACAGCTTCTCATGTTCATAGTGACCAAATTAAAGTCTGTAAACTAAATTTTCTGTGATGCTGATGCACATTTTTCCAGCTCTGTGGGATCAGAAGTCACTAAAACATCAGGAGGAACTGTGAAGCAACACCTGCTGTTTGGAATCCAGCTTCCACAGACGAGAAATAACGACTCGTTCTTGTTAAAGCACCATTTGACAGATTTACCAAATGTGTGTGAATGAGAACTTTAAAGGGGAATCTCAGAGGGTGTTTCTGGTGATCGCATACGACTTCAGGTTGCAGATTATATGAAGAACAAACTGACAGGATTGTGGTAGCACAGCAGACGCCACCAGGAACAAAATATTTGAAGAAAAAAATCATGAAAATGTGGAATAAAATGTCAGTGAGCATTTTGAAATACCTGAAATGAGAAGAAACACTTGTAGGTGAACCTTCTTCTGACTATATAAAGGCTCTGTTACACCTAAACATGATATTTCCTGAAACCTTCCAGCAGTTAAATCACCTCAAACTTACATGAAGCTTCCTTGTGATGACATTTTTCTATTCTTTGCAATTCTCACACATCTGTTTCTGTTGCATGCGTATGAAACTCATATTTTTGGCCGCTTGGCTTCGACCTGCAAGCATTTGATCGATATCCTAAAATAAGTTCAGTAGTGCTGCGTCCTTTCGTGCATGCTTAAACAAAGCCCCGAGGATCGCCTTGGCTGGCGTACAGCGGTGACTCCCTGCACGGATCGGCCAAGGTGCTGCTGCAAACCAGTCTGATGTCATTCCTGCATCAGGCACAGCTCGGAGCGCCTCGGGCCAAACGGCCTGACAGAATCTCTTCTTTTTTTTTTCACCCCTTTGATGGGAATGCTCAGCGCATGCCAGCGTTCAGGAGCTTTAAACTGTGACAGATTCTGCTGAAAGGCTGTGAATGTGTCACTAACAGGTTGATTGGGTTCATACAGGAAGCCTGAGAATGAAATTAAATGAACAGACAATATGTGTGTGAGTAGAGATATAAACCAGATATCAGATTTAAGTCTCTTCTGCTTGTTAGACTATGAGCTCTATTCTGGTAATGCAAGGTGAGAAGATTTCACTTCAGCCAGCTCATATTTCACCTAAAATCAGAGTTTGAGTGGCTCCTGGATGAAGGTGTGGCTCCGCTGATGCAACCCTTCGCTGCATGATTAATTCCTGACACAGAGAGAGAGAGCATTAGTGTGATTAGTGCTCGGATTAAAGGAGGAAGAATGGAAATGTGGCCTTTAAACAACTGGTTTTCTCAACTCTGACATGTTTTAAAGCATCAAGCCAAACTGGGCAGCGCATCAGATCACCCACAGTTTGATTTAGATTTCTCATTTTAATCTGGCTGCAGTAGGATTTTCTGTGCTGAGGGTTGGTTCAGAGCCTGCAGACAAAATAATTCTCTGACTACCTCTACCGGTTTTTCCTGAAGATGCGCCTCAGGCTTTACCAGAAAGAAAAAAAAAAGAAAAGAGAGGGGGAGAGACAGAAATAAAACCTGCAATGCTTCGGATTAAACATCTTTTTTCCTTCCTTCACAGAGTCAAAGAGTCCAGAGAGGTGTTTGCTTTAAGCGTGGATTCACACTCAGGTGAAGCTGGACAGATAGGAACCAGTGCAGCAGGTAATTGGCAGCTTCTCTTCTCTCCCTCTAACGAGTGGGAGTGTCTTCGTGTCTCAACACGGCGGCTGCAGTTGACAGACAGCTGCACTCACCTTTCTACCTGCCAGCTAGAAGGCAGCCAGTCGTCGCCGCTCGGACGTGAACGCAGCAGCAGCAGCAGCAGCAGAGGCTCCTTCATCACCGCCGGGGTCAGGTGAAGGGACCGGGTGACCCCTCGGCCGGGACAGGTGAGCTCCTCCACCTCTACACGCAGCTCGTGTTGTGCAAAATGGTTGTGATGCATTTGGACATGTGTGTGTTGTTTTTTCCAGGGAGAACACCTGCTGCTGCTGATTAACAAGTCGCTCAGCTGACACGACAACGAGTCGACGCCTGAATGAACTTTATTTGTTTTAGTGACAACAAGACACCGGCTCTTGTTTCTCTTCACAAGACCGTCCTGCAGCAGTTCTGTTGCCCGCACAGCTGGAAACTTTGCCTGGGAATTTCTGTGCTCAAAAATTTCAGTCATTGTTTCTGGTCGTGTGTGTAATGTGCATCCGAGGCCGAGCGGGCCCACCTATCCCACGCCTGCCTGCCCATCTGTCCTCCACAGGGCAGCTTTGGATGGATTTTTAACTTGCAAAACTGGACTGCATTTGTGAGAAAATGTCTCAAGTTAGTAGTAATTAACATATGAGTGAGCACAGAGAAAACGTGCCCCATCATAGCAGGATTTACTGTTAAAGGCCTCGTGTCTGATTGACAGGCTCACCTGAACAGCACCTGAGCTACAGTGTGATTTTGAAACTTGTTCTTTTTTTAAAATCTCCCAACAGCAGCAGCAGCAGCCATTTTTCTAGTTGTAGAGGCGCAGCTCGCTCTGGTTCAGTTGTGACATATCCCACAGAGGGCATGGCAGCGGTGTTACCACATGCAGACTAACCTGCAGTATGTCAGGTATGTTGGTGAACCAGCTCCACTCAGCCGTTCTCAGATGATGGGTGTGACTCTGTACTTTCCTTCAGAGTGGCACGATTTAATTAAAATGCAGACAATAAACTGCTGACAGTAAACACACCAGGAACTCGTTGCACAATGAACCCGCTCGGCACATGATTTACTTTTAAATGACGAAGAGAGGAACTGAATTACTGCTGAATGAAAGTGTTTGTAATTTTCTTTTTTACAATAAAAACGCATCTGAGGACAAATGTTCCAAATTAGCTGTTTGGGGTTTTTTTCTATGTGTGTTTGTTCCTGCACAGAAATAAACATGACAAACTAATGCTGGTACAGAACCTGCTGCTGTGTGTGTTTACACCTGGAGGTCTGCACATAAAGAAGTAGGTTCCTTCAAACTGGTTCCATTTCAGTGTGTGAATACTGATCAGAAGGACTTGTGTCAACACTCGGAGCAGGTGAGTGACACGTTATCCAGAACAAACATGACGTGAAGCTGGATGTCAGCCAGTCTGTCACTTCTCAGGTTTGTTATATTTAGTTTGAGATAAAAAGTTTCAGGTGGAATCTGGAGTTTCAAACGTCCTGAAGGCGGCTTAAAACCTGCACGACGGGTCAGTTTGGTGAAGCCAGGTGGTGGGAATACGGGTTAAAGAGGAGCTCAGAACGTCTGGGATAGGAACACAGTGAGCGGCGTCGCGTTTCAGTGGAAATGCTGATACAGTTTATTACATTTTTAAGATGCTATAAGTAAAAGCAACTTCATTTCACTTAAAAAAAGTTCTGTTACAGCAAGTGCCAACACGTCGGTGTTGAGTCATGATTGGTAGATTGCATACAAGCCCTAGATGAAGGAAAATAAAAAAACACTTGGATCCGATGTCTGACGCACAACATCCACAAATACACAATCAAAGACGCATCCTGATCACATCACTTTGTTTTTTTTTTTTTGCTCCCCAACTGTCGACCACAAGGTGGCGCTCTCGTCACAGAATAAATTAGGAGACCCACTTCTGTGGGCGTGGCAGCGCTGCTACAACCACGACTACTTTAAGCTTTTTTCAAATCCCTGAAAAAAAAAAAAAAAAAGACAAACATATGGCACGCATCCCATTCTGTCAGCATTTAGCACAAATTAACAACAACAACTCCGGATGTGTGTCCTCACAAACACAAACATCTCACAGAAAACTGCCGAGTTCCTTTCCTCTTCAGCAGGAGGCCGATTTACAATTTCAGCAAACGTTTATCACAACAGAAGAACTTGGAAACTTCCCCAAATGCTCAGAGAGTGAATCGCTTTGTGGTCGTCACAAACAAGTCAACTCAAAAGTTCAGGTGTGCTCTTGGTTTTCATCCTTATTCAATATGAACAGAAAATATCAGATCCTGGAGCAGTAAAAACACTAAAACAGGTCCATTTGAGCGGGAACACGGATGTGAAGAGAGTTTTTTTTCCCGGCTGATTCTTTCCCTTCATCCGGATGCACTTCTACTGTGGAAATGTTTTGTGCAGGCAGAAGAGATGTCTGAGTCCCAGATAGAGAGGAGAGGACCGGAAAGCTCGGGGAATGGAAATTAAAGGAGGGACGATGTGAGGAAGGATGACAAAAATATTACTATAAAAATAAATATAAGGCTCCCTTTTAAACAGAGATAAGTAGCAGGACGCAAGATTTCAGGAGGAGAGAAACTCGAGTATTTTCCACAACAGGAGACAGGATTTGGTACAAAAAAAAAAAAACTGGAAAAAATAAAGAAAACAAGAGCAAATATTCAAAACGCACAACGTCTGTGCCGAAAGCACGAGCATGAGTTCAGGTTAGACACAGACAAGCAACGCACATGCATTTCCTTTTGGTACTGGTTCTTGTACGGGCCAGTTTTGGTTCGTAAATGACGAGCGGATATGGAAAAACAAAACAAAAAGCGGCAGAGAAGTGATATATTGCACAGCAGTATATGAGCGAGCAGATATTTTGTTCATTCACAAAGAGAAGATTATTGGCGGTTTGCGGCTCTAGCCCTTTCCGGTGACCAACAGGGAGCCAGACCAGGTAATACAGAGCTGAAATGCACGTTCAGTAAGCATGCACATAGAAACAGTGAGTCATATACAGTCCAGCGACGTCCGCGGGTCGCCGCAGAGCTCCGCCTCCTCGCGGTAAACATGACAGAACTACCAGCACCATGATAAAGGCTTGTTTTGTTTGAATACAGCAACAAGAAAAAAACAAAAACTGCCTCCCTCCAGAGTCGCCGGCTGGGTGGCACACGGACAGAAACGCAGCTCGGGGTGAACGAAGCAGCTGCCGTCGTTGGAATCTAAGACACTGAAGCAGCCGCGTTGAAGAGGAAGTCCGACGGTTGGATCCAGCGGAGGCCCACGACGAAGCCCTTGTGACGGGACGAGGAACGCCGGAGCACGATGAGCGCGGCGGGCGAGGAGCCGCAGCCTCGGCTGAAGAATCGTTCAAGGCTGCTCTTTTGGCTAGTCAGTTAAAAGAAATCATAATTTACAAATAAAAAATAATAATAATAATGATAATAAAGGAAAAGCAGAGTGTGGTTCCAGCACTCAGACCCACTTCCTCAACTCAACTTTGGAGGGTGGTAAAAAAACTAAAACATAAAAAATAAAACTCCCATTGCCAACTCAGTAGATTGTCCCAAGGCTTTTGGTCAACAGAGTGTAAATGGTTGAAAACAAACAGATAAATAAAAAACAAAAAGAGGATGAAGGAGGACTGACAGCATGTCTGGACCGGTGGAGAGCCTGAGTCACCGCTTGTAATAGGCACCTGGAAAAGATGGAAGAGACACAGACGTCTGTCAGCGGCTTCATACATCACGCTGCCATTTACCTCATCGTCCTGCTTCTGCGCCGCTCTCTTCACTTTTCTTTTTTATAACTTTGAGATCAGGGATTTATTTCTTCTGTCTGGCTTTGGTCGACTACTTTTCTGTTTATGGGGCAAAAAGCGGCGTTTGTGCTTCTTTAAAGCTCGTGATGGAGACGCTGGTGAGCAGCTGGAAGCAGGTTCATGACACCGACCTGCAGCAGAAGTATTTACTGATTAGAAGGTCCACAATAACAGAACAGCATCCTCGTCATCCCGTCGACATGGTTTAATATTTACACTCCAAAAAAGAAAGCTACACACTTAATACGTCAATGCTGTGCTGAGTTAATTAGTCATCTACATACTGGAACGATTAATCAATCTAAGAGAATGAAAACACATTTGTTTGTCATTTTTTTAAAACCAAAAAGCCAAATATTTGATGTTTTAAGCTTCTGAAATATGAACATTTGCTGCTTTTCTTTGTCATATATGATCATCAGGCACTAATGGTTTGGCATACAGATAATTTTATTGTTGATATTATTTACATATAGATTATTATTTTGTTTTGACATTTTACTGATTCACTTATAAGATAGAGAAAATAATTCTTACATCCCCAGTTTCTAGTATGTTCTAGGTTCCCAGCTGAAAACTGAACAGAGTGTTTATTAATTTAATTGGAAGCGTCTTCAATTACTTTCAATTATATCTGTTTACCTTTTTTAACACTATGATGGTTTTCATGCACCACATTGTGTCTTTATCGGTCTTTTACATTTGGGGGTTTTTATGGCTCCTCTGTTTTACTTTGCTGCCTTTTAAAGCATTTTGTAACTTGGATTTTGAAAAGTTTTCTACAAATATGAAATTAAATTATAATAAAATCTTACTGCTCACTCACTGAGACAGTATTGTTAATCTATGTGCAGCTTTTAAGCTTGTTTTTACAGCAACATTAACACTTGGTTTCCACTCGTCAGGTGTTGATGGATCCTTAAGTATCTGGATCTAGTCAGTCAGACCTGATGAAGCCTCTTGGATGAGAGGTGGAACGTCTTCAAGGAACTCATCAAGTCCAGCTGCTACCATTAATCTACCAGAATAACCATGACCTGGATGACTGAGAATCTTCAGACACTTGGTTTCCAAAATATCTGCAGTCAGGAGGGTTTGCTTTCTGAGAACTAACAGGGCCAAAGAATAAACTTAAAATACACTGTAGACATAGACTAGGCAGCAGTGTTGTAGTGGACAATTTCTATTTCTCCGTTTATTTTTTTTAAATATTTCTATCACCTAATTGTTTTTTTACCACTTTATTTCGTTGTTCCTTTCATTCTTTTACCTGTTATTTATTCACTTATTAGCTATTATTAGCCTTGTGTTTATGGTTCTACCCTCTACTTGTTCTTTCCTTTACTCAGATGTGGTATTTTAATATTTTTTCTGGTGTTGCTGTTTATTTTGAGAATCTTTTACTGTGTTGTGTTGCTCAGAGTTTCCTTCTTTTCTCTGTAAAGCACTTTGTAAACCCTTCTTTTCCAAGATGCTCTATAAATAAAGTTATCATCTTTAACATGCAGTCCTGTGGCCCTTAAACTCAGGCTACATCCTTATTGTATTAGAATGTTAAATGAAGCTCTGAAGTACCTCTGATGGCGGCCTCAGGTCTGGTTGGAGCTCGGGGGGCACCAGGATGCTCCGAGTAGCCGTAAGCAGAGTTCACATTCTCATAGTCGGGGGCACGAGGCTGAGGAGGCCTGAGAGGAAGAAATAACACGATAAATCCCGGTTCTGGACCGACTGAGACTAGCCGGTGAGGTGACCGTCGTACCTGGTAGGCTTGTTGTTGTTCTTCTGCCTCTGGTGGTCGTGCTCCTCTCGTGTTCTGGGCCGGACGACTTCCTCCGGATTTGGCTGGAAACCGAGAAGAAAAACGAAAAGTTATGGCTCCTGAAATTACAATTCTGCTGAAACATTTGATTTGAAATAAAATAAGTGCATAAAACAAGTAAAGAGAAATGGCCCCGAACCACAGGTGTTAAAAATAGCGGTGGTTGGGGGTAATTACCCGGTAGTCTCCCTCCGGCCGCCTCCTCTCCATCGCCATCCTCTCCATGGCCAGCCTCTCCCGCTCTCGCTCCTTCTCTTTCTCCCGCTCCCGGTTCTTCTTGTACTCCTTCTTCTCTTGTTCCATCAGCAGCCGGGCGATTTCCTGCCGCAGCGAGACGACTGGATCACAACCACAGAAAGCCTCCTAACAGACTGTCAAACACTCACACGATTCCTAGAAAATGTGCCTCTAATGAACTGTAACAACACTTCTTCTCCCAGAACGTCTGCTTCGGACACGGCTTCATGCACTCAGGGTTATAAGTCAATAAAGCCGACTCGATTGGCTGAAGTCAGGAAATGAAAGGATATAAAAAGTCAGAGAAGTTTCCAGACTGGTCCGCTCACCTCGTCTTGTGCCACTTGGGCCGCACGCACATGCATCTTACTCGCCTGAAACCAGAAAACAGTCAAAGTCAGACTTTCCTCCCACAGCGGAACAAACTGTTCCAACGTTACACAACGTAGGAAACGACTGAGAAGCTTCTGTGAGAGCCTCTAAAACTGAGGGTTCAAGTAATTTACAGCAAAGACGATTAAACGGTTTAATCACATCGTCGTAGAGTCGCTGTAGGTTCCCAATACGTTGGAACAGAGCAGCTGAAACGTTGATCAGGTAAAACACAGGATTTTAACTGTCAGCTAAACAGAAACTTTACATAAATTCTCTTTTATTTTTTTGTTAAAATAAAGACTTCTAGTTTATTACACCTAAAATAAGCTGAATAAGTCCAACAGTGTGAAGAACTGATACTGTATTTATGACACAGGACCTTTTATCAGTTTTATTCCAAGTCCTGCCTTCAAGTTAATACCTGACTTTAAACGTCTCAATTGAATCCGCACTGAAACATGAGTGTTGATATTTGACTCTTGATCTTTGTGGTCTTTAGTAAGTTGAAGTGCTGGCGGTTGGGGATACGGGACGTCCCAAACGTGATCCAATTCTGAACTGATGGCTTTCAGGAAGAAGCCTGATCCTTTGTTTACATCCACTAGTGGTCACATGTTGTACATCCGAGTAGTTTAATCAACATGAGCATTAATATCAATCCATGCTTGAATTATTAATAATATAAATCCAGCAGACTTGTAAACGCTCACGCAGTGATATTATCAAAGCTGCAAACACGTCCTTTATGCTGCTAAAGCGGCCGTTACAGCTTCTAAATCGCTTCTTAAATTATTCACACAAATAAAATCGAACACGTTCCTGGTTTGCTTCCTCACCTTGATTTCCTCGTCCTGCAGCTTCCTGGCCACCTCCATGTCCTTCAGCTCCTGCTCACGGATGTCCAGCTTGGTCAGACCCTTGGTGGCTTCGTTCAGCTCGTACTCGGTTTCTGGGATGACCGCTCCGCTGCCCCGGTGCACGATGCGACCTGCAGAGAGCACCGCGTTATGTGAGCGAGAGATGAGGGCGGCAGTGAGGATTTCTTGGCTTTATGATGCCAGAAAATTGAGAAAAATTACAAACGCAATTTCCCTCGATTTGTCAAATCAACCAAGAGAAGTTATTATTCTTGGTAAAATGAAACAAAAATGATTCATGATTATCCAAATCACTTGATGGAGTGACACATCATTCGTCACCACAGGATTAAAGCCAAAAGGCACCTGAAAGGGCTCCGCTGGTGTTCGTATCTGTGTTTCCTTTAAAGCCTTTGACAGCTCTGGGATGAGGGAACACGGCTAAATGTTCCAGCGCCAGCACGCCTTTGATGGATCTGAGGTGCCTCTTGTCTCGATAACATAATCCAAGCGGCTCACCAGCCCTGAAGCCCTTTGTGTGCCAAATTTCAGCTTATCAAAATCCATTTGAGCTATTCTACTGGAAAAAACCACAGCACACGTTTCAGGCTCAGCGCAGTGCGACTCCCGTTGCTCAGCGAACAATGCGAGACGGAGCGACAACCCCCCACAGCACAACAGCGTCATTTCAAGCTAAATCAGAGATGAAGGTAGAACCGTCGTCGTTAGTGATTTTGCCACGTTAGATCAACCCACCACCTGTCGATTGCCAAAGCAAAAAAAAAAAAAAAAGCAACTCGAGCACACCACACAAACTCCCCCGCGGAGCCCGGCGGGGGCTTCGGGGTGGTACCTGTCTCTCCGTTGGGGTGACTGTGGCTGCGCTCCCTGCTGCTGGGACCCTCCCCATCTCTGGGGTCCCACAGCTGCCGGGCGTCACCTCTCCTTTCGTCAAACACGTCTTCGGGGCCGGAGTGGACGCGCCGCCGACCCCTGGCCTTCCTCCCGTCGTTGCCCTCCTCCTCCTCCTCCCAGGATGCTCTGCCCTCCCTCGGCCAGTCCCTGCTGGGTCCCGCCTCCATATAGTCCTCTTCCAGTCCTCGGTCTCTGCTCCTGGTCCTCGCTCGCTGCCTGTCTTTCTCTCTTTGTCTCTGCCGGTCTCTCTCTCTCTCACTCGGTCCTCTTTCTCTGGATCTTTCCCTGTCTCTCTCTCGGTGTCCATCTCCACCTGGTCCTCTTTCTCTGGACCTTTCCCTGTCTTTCTCTCTGTGCCCATCCCCACCTGGTCCTCCATCTCTGGATCTTTCCCTGTCTCTCTCTCGGTGTCTGTCTCCACTCGGTCCTCTGTCTCTGGACCTTTCCCTGTCTCTCTCTCGGTGTCGGTCCCGGTCTCTCCTCTGGTCTTTCTCCATGTGTCTCTCCCATTCTTGGTCCCTGCGTCGGTCTCTGTCCCGGTCCTTGTCTCTTTCTATGGGAATGTGTGGTTGAGGTGGCCTAGCTGGCCTCTCCTTCCTCCTCACCACTCTCTCCGTGTCCTCCCCACTCGGGCCTCTGGTTCTGCTGGGCTCATAATCCGGATACCTGTCCCCGTGTTTGCCTCTGGAGGGCAGCAGGTGCTCTGGGTATGGATCTGCATGCCTGCTACGCCCTCCTTCTGCCACCAGGTGGTGCTCCGGGTACCTGGAGCGACTATGAGGCGCTGCCGAGTCCAATTTCGGGTACCGGCTCCGTTTGGGCTCGGTAGAGCTGTAATCGGGGGAATGATCGCGATGCGAGCTCGCCGAAGCTTCGTGTCGGCCGGGGGATTTGTGACGGCTGGGTTTGTCCAGGTCGAGGGGTCGTCTCGCAGCTGAGCAGTGGAGGGAAGGACGGGATGAGAACATGGAAACAGACAGGAACGGTACAAGCTAGGACGGTTAGTAGCATCTGTGAGGACAACGATGGTTAAATGACAAAGAACAGGCTGAAGATGTAAAGTGTTGGTGTTAGTTTTACCCCAAAAGTCCAGAAATGTGACTGTTACTCTGTGAAAAATCCAATAAGGTTAATACAGCAGTGGAAGGATTTGGGGTCTAAATAAAAGACAGCAACAGTAGTTTGAAAGAATGGAAAAGCACATGATCAAAAAACCAAGTTCTGTAAAATATTTTGTCTGAATTTTTAAAATTTCATGCATTTTCAGGCCTGGAATTTTTGCATTTTTACTCTCACACTACATTTTATTGATTACATATCTCCAGAAATAAAACTCCTCCAGCAGTAAACTTTAGCAAGAACACAGACAAAACTGTTTCTAGCAGATCTAAATCATTAAATGACTCCAGCAGAGGACAAATGTTTAATTACTGGCGATTTAAAATGGAAACATTTTCAAACAGGGGCCGTATTGTTCCCTCATAAAGTTCCTATAAATGTATATATATATGGATGTGTCCATATTATCTAAAAATACAGCTTTTGGTCGACATTTCAGCCATTGTTGAGGACTAACGTCAGTAGAAGTCATGCGTGTCGAGTCTGGCAAGACAAGGCTCCAGTTTTCACACATTTTGACATAATGGTGGTAAAGTGGTGCCCATAGGGGTCTATGGATTGTAACACATTTACCATATGAGGCTTATTTTGTTGCACCAAATGCTCCCACACATGTACATGGAATGAACACCGAACAGCAAAACTGATTTCAACATATGATGTTCTAAAAATTCAGCCAAAATATTTTACAGAAACTAGCTTTGGGTCCCAAATGCCAAACAAATAAACTCTAAATCTAAGATGTTTCCTGACCTGGTTGAAAACTAATCCAGTCAACAAAGCAAACACAATCAGAGCACGACTGTCTTAAAGGAGATAAAACGGCAGCCGGGACAGAACAACGTGTTCTCCTGTAAGGAAACCAGTCTGCTGGGAGTCGACATGCGACTGACAAAAGTTTGAATGAAAACAAACGGAGTGGAAGTGCCCGTCCAGGAAGCGCCGGCCAATCCTCGGCGCGCTGACAGTCAGCTCAATGGCATTCCACTTATCTAACCAGCTCCTTTACATCTAATCGACTTTGTTGTTTGCACTTTTTGAAAAGCGGGCAGGTCCACAGCCTGGGCCAGTTTAACCGTTTGCTCTCTTTTGTCCCAACTCGCTTTTGAAAATACTTAATCATTCTCTTGCATCTGTCAAGTGGAGACCGGTTCTGCCCTCCTGCTGGTTTGTGTGCAGCCCTGATCCGGTTAATTAGGACCAACACAGTCAGCAGACCCTCGTTTCCTGTGAGCAGCAGGTGGGTTAGTGGCCTGATGAGAGGCTACGTGTGAAGGAAGGCAGATTTAAACACTGCGATACAGAACAGCTCCCTACATGCCAGTAAAATACGGTAAACATGCTCAGATTGGATCTCAGACACATTTGTGCACAGCGTCGGTCCTGTGACCTGTTTAACATTTATCTAACTACTCTAACATCGTCCTGCTAGAGTCGGACTTGTACAAAAAAATTCTGAAATTTTCACAAAATAAAATATGGACGTTTGCAAAGATATATGTGGAATTTTAGTTCGATATAATAAATACTTTTTGAGATAATTTTGCTTTAAAACTTGCCGGTCGACCCACTTTCAGCTCGGCAAATAATCTGATTGTGGATTGAGTCCCATCTTTGAGCAAATATACTAACAAAAAGTATAATTAATGAGTTAACTTGAGAAATTCACTCACTCTGTTCTACTCGGATCAGCTTATCGACTCATGTTTCTGTGGTACAAATAGTCGTACCTGCTGCATCAGAGTTCTACATCTTTCTTTCATTTTTGTGACGACTGATATGAAGCATTGCAAATTAAAAATACTCTGCATGTTTTGTTTTGTGTGACTGTGGCATGCAGCTACATGCGGTTCAAAAACAACACTTCTTTATCTTTTTCTTTTTGTTTATATGAGCTCAAATCAACTGTATGATGAGAAATAACAGCTAAAATTTCAGGCTTTTATCTCTAATAGTTCCTGAGACGTCGTCGTTTAAACCTCCTCAAATTTCAATGTTCGAAAAAAAAAAACAAAACCTGCTGAAAGTGGGCTGACAGGTAATAAAAAAAGATCTGAGAGTAAAATGTTACAGATACAATTTTACTTTATTTTTATTTAATTCTAATTATAATAAATAAGTTTCAAACAAATCCGAGGTGTTCTAGCAGAAGCCCAGCATGATCTGAGGTGGAATGAAACCAGCGTTAGATGTGGAGTAAACACCGGAGCTCGCTCTGCTGTGAGCTCGGTCACGCTTCGCCAGTTGTAAGCACAGTCAGCGGGGAAATTATAGGTGAGCGGTTATGTAACTTACAGGGCTGCACAGCAAACACAACGAGCCTGGCAGCGGTACAAATACTCTAGAACAAGGAGAGGAGCGGTTTTAGTGCAAAAGAACGCAGCTCCGTCCCCGAACACCTGCTGCAAGGAGGCGAAGCAGCAGCAGGACGACTCGCAATCCGAACAGACTGATGCTGCTTCAGGCCTGTTTATGTCACAAGCTGTGTACACTTCAAACCCGCAACGTGTGACCCTCAGGACAAAAAACATGCAACGAGTTTAAAGCTTCAGGCAGGAAAACTGAGAATCAACCAGCCGGGTAACATTCAGCAGCTGCACAGAAAAAAAAATAAGCAGAGCTCTCGTAAGTCAGGAGGGAACGTGAAATGTAATTCCCACCTACACTTGCAGTTTACAGGTGTGACTTTAACTACATCAGGCCTTCCCACCACACCCTCAAATAAAAAAACATAAGCTTGAACTGCTCTTTAAACTGAACCAGCTGTGGTCTTGAGGCGAAACATGGATCGCTTGACGGGAGGGCAGCGATTTAGGAAGGAGATGAAAACGAGCCAGCGTTTCTCTCGCAGTAGAAAATGAAAGCAGCCTCCAGTGGGATGAATCATGCAGGGGGCTGATGTGAGCACGGAAAGGCTTGAAGCTCAGATAAACACAATATGTGACACCGAGCTGCTCGCTAATGTGTTAACGAGGCAGATAACATTCCACCTGAAACATATTTGCTTTATGTGATTATGCAACAACACCGGATAAATATTTGTAAGCCTTCATGATCCACTATGTAGATATTCGTTTAATATTGGAGGTAAAAACTGATATTCAAGCACATCTTAAACTGGATCTGCAAACCGGAGCTCTGTTAAACCCATTTACAGCAGCATCGTCTTCTGAATGGGAGCGAAATGACAAATAATTTCTCTGCAGGAACATGTAAGCCTTCCTTCAAGGTTAATTATGCGCTTATAAATGCGTTCCAAAAAAAGCTTTGCCTGGAGTCAGCAACAATCTCCAGCCCTGTGGAGCTTTAAAACGCACACCCTCACACACGCGGAGCTGCAAAAAAATGGGGAAATGAAAGCCGTGTTCATCCACACAACAAGCTCACACAGGCACGCATGAAGGAGGCGGAAGAGTGCTGCTGCTGCTGCTGCTTTACCTCCACGATCCTCAAAGTACTCCTCGTCAAAGTTCGCCTCCAGCTGCTTCTGCCTCCTCCTCTCCTCTTTCATCTCCTTCTCCTGCAGCTTACGAGCGATGGCCTACAAACAAACAAGGCCACAGTCAACACGGCGTCCCTCGAGAGCATGAAAATCTGTAACAAGCATGTCGCTCGGTTTTGATGCTGCAGCGGAGATGCATCGTTCCTGGATGTTTCAGGACAGTTGGTGCATTTCTAACATCGGCTCCATCGCTCTGCCAAGTTAGAGGCGCCAAATAATCAGCAGCATCGGTGGTATAGTGAATGATTTACTGGCAGTTTAACAGAAGCTGGAGCGCACAGTTTAATAAGGGCTGACTGATACGATATCTTCAGGCTTGATATTAATTATTAGTGATGAAGGAGAAGCGAACTTGTCCACCGGTAGCATCGGCAACGCTCTCATCATTTGGTCGATCACGGTCACTTAACTGCTAAACTCATCACCGCCGTCGGTATTTGTTCAGTTTTGAGGTCGAATGCAGAACTTTTTCTTCTTGTTCTTTCTGCCAACGTGCTGCTACAGATGTCGTCACACCTGTACTGCTTGCACTGCATTTATATTTAGTATTGCGTTACTTGCACATGTTGCTCTGCTTTAATTTCCTCATTCACTTCATATGTTTATTGTTAGCATCTGACACTTGAACGTGCATTTTTATTCATAGGAATTATTGTGCATTTTGTATCTCAGTAGACTTGTCTCTTATATTTTATATTTTTCTGTCACGGTGGTGGTCACTTTACTTTCTCTGCTCGCTACTGGAACAACAGAACTTCCTCTTGGGGATCAATTATTCTACATTTTTTCTGTTTTGTACACTGTGGGACTCTGAAAAGCAGCATTTTCAGTTTCTCTATATGTTCTGCACATGTAAAGATACTGACAATAAAGTTCACTGTGACCGGCTCTGTTTGCATCCACCTGTCAGAACTTTGATCATCAGGTGAGTCTGGACTCCTCGTCTCCACCAGCCTCCTCCTCCTCTTTCTCTTCATTTAGTACCTTTTAAATAATCTCCGCTTCATCTCAGGAACACTAGCAGCTAAATGGACCGTTTCACAGACTGAATAAAGTTCTATTTTCGACCACAGAGACTGGCGCCGGTGCGACCCGTGTCGGCTCAAGTGTCTCCAAATCGACCTAATAAGCGTCATAAACTCGAATGTGTGATGAGCTACATTTAGAGCAGACACCTGCAGTGGAAATAAAAAAAAATGTGGTTTTGCATTTGCAGGTGTTTGATTAAAAGAGAACTTTGTGTTGATTTGCTGTAACTTGTGATGCGTAACTAATCAGTGCCGTGGGGACACACACAGGAAGCCGAGTGTGTTTTTAAATTCATATATTGGGAAGCTGTTAAAAAAATTTAGCAAACCCGATGCTGAATATTGGATCCGATAATCAGCCACGTTGATATCTACTGTTCAGGACAATAACTGAAATGTCCGTAGACTTAAAGAGTGGATGGATCAAACTGAAGCCGTTTGTTTGCTCAGATTGTAGGAGGAAACAGGCACTGATCTCTCAACTTGGGCCACAAAATATTGGGGAAAAATGGCTTTTTCTGCAACGTATATATGAAATAAATCCAGAAATGTTCACCAGATGACTTCAGTAACTCAAACTTGGAGAGAAGTGATCATTCCTGGCTGATCGGGGAGAGACTTCATCTACATCCAAAATAAAAGGTAATTTAAAAATCGCTGAAAAGTGACTTTTTACTGTTAATAATCACTGCAAGTGCAACCAATTGGAACTTTGCTCTTGTAGTAAAAGCATCTCAAATAGTTTAATTGCTCTGAAAGGTGTTCAGATGAGGCTTTGAACTCAAACACATCTCTGTGCTGCTGATTTTATTGGCGAAACAAAACAGCTGTGACGCGTTTTGTTGTGGCAACGGCTGCAACACACAGATGACCAGTTATTAGTCAGTGTCATTGTGTGGTGCTTTTATTGTGCAGCCAAATATCTAAACATCTACTAGTCAGATTTCTAGTCGTGGAAAATGAGAACTGAGTGAGTTTTTCTTTTTTTACATCAAGCAGAAACTAAAAATGTTCATTTGCAGCTTCTGTTGCACCTCCTGTGATTGTACACATCACACCGTCGGTAACGCAGCATCACAAGGGCTTAAACGCCGCAATTAGGACGCTAAAAGCAAAACAAAGGCTCAGCTGTTGTTGTGGTTTTTCCACTACAGCTGGGAGGTGCCGACAGGGCGAATAGTAAATGGTCCACCCGCTCATACCGACAGCAACGTCACCGACTAGCACATGAAACCTGCATTGTGTGTTTGAACGGGCTCAAGGCTTCTTACCGCATCCTTCTCCTCCTGCTGTCGCTGTTGTTCCGCCTGTCGGACCAGTTCTTCCTGAATCTCGTGGGCGATCTCATTGTCGTGTCGCACGCTGATGTTCCCATTAGTTCAGGAGGAATTCACATGGAGGGGAGGGGAGGGGGACACACACAGAACAGTTACTGGATCATTCTTCATTTCTTCTCATTTCTGTTTCATATCTCCTGTTTTCTCAGCACCAAGTATTTGATAAACTGGAGTGACCTCATGTAGCAGCCTGAGGTTTATTTTAATTTTTTTGTTTTAGAAAGTTATGAAAATACAACAAATACTTCAGCTCTGCCAAAAGTTTCACAATTATGAATCATCGGAAATGCCACTTCGTGTTATTGACAATTAATTAAACTCAAAGCCCCGGCGCTACGTGAGGGAAGCGAGCACAGCAGGAGCTCGGCTTTGAAGCCACGCAGCACGTCGAGAGCGATGGCGGCTGCTCCTCTGGCACGCAGCAGAATATCCTCGCTTGTAGTGATGTTGATCTCGCCTCGGCTCGCCCTCATCTTTAGGCGACGTGGTTCTGACAACAACACCATCTGCCTGGAGGGCTGCTACGCAAAGATCCACCTGCAGACGTGCGCGAGTGCAACGCTTCGCCGCCAGCAAGAGAACAGCGGCGGCTTAAAATTTGCCTGTGCTGCACCTGCGTTTGACCCGAGCGGTTAACAGCTCGGGAGGACTTAAGCTGGCGAAAAGTAAACAGACCTCAATATGTGGTGAACGCGGCGCGCTAACAAACAAGCCATGCTGTATTCCAATGTGTTCATGTGGGAGTACGTGAGGAGGCAGAGGGCTGGCAGTGTGAGCTCCCAGCATCGGCCTGGTGGAGCATCTGGCCTCTCCCTGGGGGTCAAATCCACCACGAGATCCTTGTACTCTGTCAAAC